GACTGCAGTTTCCAGAAGACGCACCAGTGTCTCCGAAACTTTACCTATGGACCGAAAACAATAAGCTGTTAAGAAATAAAGCGAAAACTTCAGAAGACATCGACGAGGTGTGTTAAAGGGAATAGTTCACTTTCACGGAATTAGTTTTTTCAATGGATTTATGATTTTTTTATGCTCAAAATGATCAAAAGAAAACCTTTTTATAAAAATATTATTTTCTATATTTTAATGAAGAAATACGATCGGCTTTGTATCGGATTTGGTGACGATCGGCGCAGCGCTTCTGGAGATAGGTATATCGAAAACACTCATGATATAAAGATATTTGTTAAAAAAGATTTGGTGCATAATTGGTCAAATTAGGTGCATTCGCCAAATAACCCGTCGTGAAAACAGCTAGTGTTTTTCTTTTTACAAAGCATGTCGTGGTAAATTATGCAGATGGCATAATTATTAATTATATTTTATATACTGACACTGTGATCGCAAGATACAGAAAGAAGTAGAAAATAATTAGTAACTTTTTAGGAGCCTGTTAAGATGAGCTATAGTTCTCCGTACCTATCGAACAGGAGCTTCTCTCTTCGGAGATGTGCTCTCACATCTCCCTCATCTCTCACGGTACATTATGCCTATTCCCTCGCGACACACAATTGCGCTGGTCATTGATCAATAATTATTTAACAAGGTAAGTATATGAACTTACTTACTATTGGCCTCGGAATCCGAGTTTCAGTTTCTGCACACCAAGTCCATAAAATGCTGCACACGCGAGCGACGCACTTTCACCACCAAGCAACGGAATTCAACTGAAATAATGGCAGACGCGCGCGAAACGTGCGCGGCTGTGCCACATCGGCTCAACCAATCAGCGAGCTGGAAGCCTACTCACGGCTAGATTACTAACCACATACTCATGATCCTGAGCATAAATACCAAGCATCGATGAGTACTGCCTCACACCATCGCAGGAGCTACGAACGAACTAAGGCATCGTTGGTAAATACGTTAGTTTACCTGAGTATGACATGAGTCTTATCCTGAATAAAAGGGTTAGTTTCCATAGGGTGGTAAAATTTTTTCTCAGTGTAAATAGAAATGATGAGTAGCGAAACGAAGTTGAAAACTAATCCACTCGATTTTCTCAGCGCGAGAATGTCCTCGCGGAAGTTTACTAGGCCAGTAATCCGCTTTTCAGGAGAATTCTTTAGGCAGGCTTTAGTTTTTCATAGTTTGCTATCACTTCTCCACAAATAACTTGTCTTTCACACATATGTATGGCTCTAAAACAAATAAACGCCCGGCAAAACTTTAAACAGAGAGTTATACTTGTTCGCAAGCAATACGCACAATTTCCGATAGCCAAGGTGACAAGAATTGACCAATCACGTTGCGTGTTTTCTGCTGGCGCTGAATTGTACCGTGGGCAAAATGCCGTGAATAGAAATGTCGTGGCACGGCATTGGTAAGATTGGGTAAATGGAGTGCCGTGGATCAGCCGCCGTGGTTGGCATCCACGGCATATGCATTCACGTCATTGGTAAGATTGGGCCATAGTTTGCTATCACGTTTTCCACACATAACTTATCCTTCACACATATGTATGGCTCTAAACAAATAAACGCCCGACAAAACTTTAAATAAAGAGCAATACCTGTTCACAAGCAATACGCACAATTTCCAATAGCGAAGGTGACAAGAATTGACCAATTACGTTGCGTGTTTTCTGCTGGCGCTGAATTGTACCGTGGGCAAAATGCCGTGAATAGAAATGCCGTACCACGGCATTGGTAAGATTGGGTAAATGGAGTGCCGTGAATCAGCCGCCGTGGTTGGCATCCACGGCATCTGCATTCACGGCATTGCACAGTGGGGATTTTTCCGACCTAGCACGTATTTATTCGTAGAGGGCAAACCATAGGTAGAATTGTAGCCAGATTGTGCACAGATGTTGGCTGGTGTGTCCTGGTGAGAATTTTACCTGTAAATGTGCATAATCAACATAGTATAGGGGGTTCAATTGGACCCCCCGCTCAGCCGTTTGGCCCCTGATCAAGCTAGAGCTTCGCGAAAAAGTCAAGCGTGCTGCCTATGACGAAATGAGGCCGAATATATCCAATTTCAAAGTCCAGGGTCATAAGCTGACTTTCCAAGTCAGTTTAATGACCCAACTAAAGTTGGGAAATCGAGACCTCTTGAAACTTCGCAAAGTTAAAGGAAATAGTTCACTTTTTAACATGGGTTTTGAACTGGAATAGCAGTTCCGTAGCTTAGGCTGAGACGAGCATAAATCAGGAGCTTTTACAGCCCAACGATCACCCTAGGCAAAGATATTCTATTTCTCGTCCCGAAAAAGGTGTCTTGCGTTGAGGATGTGTGCCTTGCATATATTTCCATCCAGTATGAAAAGAGCATGGGTCCCGAAAATTCTTCAGAAACTAGGGAAATTATCTACGAGAACTCTAGAGAAATTCTCGTACTGATCAATTAGGACATTCAGGGGAACATTATCAGATCGAGCAGATCGCCCAAATGCCGGTGGCTGCGATAATTTCTCTGTTTCTGAAGAATTTTCGGGACCCATGCTCTTTACATACTGGATCGCGTGTGCCTTACAGAAACTGAAAAGTTCTTCCTATATCAAAATATAGAAAAAAAATCTTTTGTTATAAAAAGGTTTTATTTTCTTTGCTGATTATTTTGAACATAAAAAATCATAAATCGTTGCAAAAAAAAATAATTTCGTGAAAGTGAACTATTTCCTTTAAGATGTTACGGGGTATTTTGGGGTGCTGATCACGAATTTCATGTTAGTTTTGATCACAGACGATGTCTTTATGCATTTAGGCCAGGTCGGGTCAGGTCAGGTTAGATCAATTAGTAGGCGTCCTGCCGGCCATCCATAGAAGTGTCACCTACTACTGATAGCTTCGTAACATGGAACGAAGGCACTAGAACTACTTCGTAAATATTCAAATGGCTGCTAAAATCGAAATCAGCACCAAAAACTACCCTTGAAACAAGTAAAACTCGAAAAAGTGAACCAAGGTCATCAAAAGGTCAATGACCTTGACTTGACCTTCACGTGACCTTGACACCCACCATTATGCATGGCACCAACATCATTTCACATATTTGAACGTTTAAAACCACAAAAAGACTGGAAACCGCGGATAATGTGAGCTGGCATACGCCGAATCGCGATTCCGGCCAAACATGGTCTCGAGAAATATGCCACAGGTCAAAGGTCAGTTGGGTCAGAGTCATGAAATTTTTAGGTTAGATGTAAAATTGATTATCTCGAGGGTACCGAAAGTTTCGGCGCGATCCGCCGCTTTTTGCGCGAGTAATTTGCGGAAAACCATGGGGTTTTATCCGACCCCTTCCCCCTCCCCCTCCCCACAAGTGCGATGGTTAATAAGGTTACGGTATGTATAATTTACGCTTGTCATCCTATTCCTAATGAATGTGTCTCAGAAAATATGCATCATATAAATCACGAAGTAAAATTATTCGCCTATGTCCGGAACATACCTATATCGTGCTGTTTGCCCTAGCGCTCCTCGAGTGGGGTGTTAAGATACTCTAATGTGAATATTCCGTGTTCAGGCAAGTTTCGGCAGCCAAACTAGGCGTTGTCTTGTGCAGGAGAAAGTGGCAAATTCGATAGGATATATTTCTGAGTGGAAAAGTGTGGAGAACATTGTTGATTTCCTACATTTATTTAGAATACCATTCCTTCAATATGGTGTCTGTAAGGGTTTTTTGTAAAGGGCATTTTTGTGACCCTAGTAAGGTTGTGGCATACTTTCTGTTTGCCATTCCATTCCTAATAAAGGTGCCTTTCAGACGATATGCAACTTTAAGACCTCGCAAGATTAAAACCAACAGGACAGGACAATGAAATTGAGCTATACTTTCGGGCCTTGCTGAGCCCATTGAGTAATCACGCATGAGTGTGAACTTTGGGCGCATTTTTCCTAGCTTTGCTGTGGACATACAGATAAAACAATGCCATATATGCAAAATTCAGACATTTCTTAGCCCTACTGACACAAAAAATAAGCAAAAATCCAAAAAAGATTTTTTGAATTAATAGGCGCTAGATCGGAAAAATCCCCACTGTGCATTGGTAGGATTGGGCCCTGGATGCGTAACAATACGTAAAACAGCCCTACGATGCTACCCACTGACCTGGGTTTACCGAGCAACAAGCTTGCTTAGCTCGGTATCCTTTTTCGGTGAGGATCTGACTCTTCCGGTTATGACTAGGCCTAGGCTCTGTCCCTCTTCAATAATGCAAGCTTTGCATGCGCTTATTACCACTAACCCCTAGATCACTGTCTCCTTCTCACTATTTTCGTTGGGAATGGTGTAGCGGCCAGTCAAGCTACATTTAGTCTTGACTTCTTTGCCTCTTCTTATGACAATTTAGGTACTAACTTGCCAAGTATTGTATTTAGCCTTGTTTTTGTTTGCTTTCCTTTTTCTTAGCAGGGAGTGTCGCGACTTGCATCATATTTTTGTCTTGGGAGGTGTTAACGTAAGGTTCTGTTGTCGCATGGGTCAGTGGGTGGACACTCCTGGTCGTCTGATCATGGGCGGCGGCTTAGAAAAAAGAATATGTAAAATTAATGGAGGAATAGTCATGGCAAATTTCGCGGCCGCTATTCACGAAAAACCTCAGGGGGGGGGGGATGGATATCCGCCCCCCCCGTCGATGCGCGGGTTAAGTTTTAGTGCTAGCATGTGCTATCCGATGGTTTTGTTGGTTGTGCCAGTTGTGTATGATGGGGAGGTGTAGTTCGAGGACACGCCTTTCCTCGTGGTGGCTTCCCTTGTCCTCATGGACATTCGGCTCTTGTCTTTATATCCTTGGGTTCCCGTTGGCGTCCCTCATTGACGTTGACTTTGGCGCTAGTCCAGTGTTCCCACTGGCTGGTAGGCGCCCACTGGCCAGCCGCTGACCCTGCTCCCCTCCCACTTTTCTGGCGCGGCAGGACTCCCAGTACAGCCGGCAGGACGGGCATCAGCTGCATCCCCTCCGCTCGGGACCGGCACGCGGCCGACAAGACCAAACAGTCACGTGAGTGGCCCCCGTGTCCCCGCCCACACCCACGCACATCACGTGTCCCCGCGCACACCCACGCACATCACCAGCGGCTCGATAGGGAAAGGATCTGAATCGTAGTGTTAAAATCGCAGTGAATGTCGATAACGATTTTCGGTTATAAAGGCAGAGCAGCGAAGTGTTTGCTGGCTCGGTTTCGGCGAGCGCTCGGTGTGTACTGTGTAGCGCACAAGCGAGCGGTCAATGTGGAGGCTTTTCTATATTAGTGCAAGTCAGAATAGCCAGTGACATTTGGGCTAGTGACTTTTGAGCTAGTACAAAAGAGCTAGTGCCTCAAAACAGCTAGTGACAAAACGCTATCAGCAAAATAGGTAGTGAAACAAATTATCTAGTGCTTCAAAACAGCTAGTGAATAAATCCCTAGCGTTAACCCGCGCCCCGCTGGGCTATTCACTATTCAGCCATACGCGCCCTGCTGGGGGGGGGCAGATTCTGCCCCCCCTGTCTAACTTCCGAACCGATGGTCGTAGAAAGACGGGGAAAACGGCAATCGAAAGCTCTCAACGAGGCGAATCCAAAGAGCTCAAATTTTTTTGCTTAAGTAGGTCAGAGGTCAGGTCAAGGTCAGGTCAAGGGTACAAAATGCAAGTTTCTACAGTATCGGCCTTGCACCGTAATTGCCGAAGAATGGACTGAGACTGATTGCCCAAAACGTGTTCTTAGGCTACCAAGACAATATTCGTTGCATACAATATCATTCAAAGGTCAAGGTCAAGGTCAGGTCAGGTCAGGTCAGGTCACCAAAAACAAAATATAGAAAAGGGCAAGTGCGACACATGTTTTATGGGTTATTTTGTTCATAGAATTCAATAGGCACACTCAATTAGTGATAGGGACCACCTCTGGATGAATTTCAGGTCGAGGTCAGGTCAAGGTCAGGTCAAGTGAGGTCAAATTTTGAAGTTGTTTGTTAAGACCTAAAAAGGTGTCTATCTGATGCAGTTTTTCACGGCGAGTCGAATGGTGCTATTTTTGTTTCCGTACGAGGTCTAGAACTTCCAAAAAATTCAGTTTTCAAAAATTTTGTGTGTCGTGACGTCATAAAATTTTAAATAACTCCCACATTTTTGAACCGATTCTTCTCAAAATTGGTATGTAGGTGCACATAGACCACTTCTCTGACATATATTCCGGTTTTTTCGATACGCTCAAAATTTTGGATTTTATAATTATTTTGCCAAAAAAGTCGGTTTTTTGAAAAAAAATTTGGGCCAAAATCCAAAATTTTCAAAAAACCGAGATAGCCATTTGATAGACAAAGTTGAATCACGTATAACCTTTTTTGTTACGTCTTGATTCCTTTAAAAATGAAGATGTTAGCGGCGTTTGAAATTTTACGATTTTTGAGGCGAAAATGGCGAACATGACGTCACTAAAACGTCATTTTCTCAAAAATTTTCCGACGGATTTCGCTCAAATTTTCAGGGAACGTGTCAAATTGATGTATAATAAGGTACTGAAAGTTTGACGTCGCTGGCGTAACGCGTTTAGAAGTTATTGGCGAAAAACGGGAGGGGGGGCAGATTCTGCCCCCCCCCCAGCGGGGCGCGGGTTAAAGGTAGTGTGCCACCTTTCAAAGATTTCCCATTTTATTTTTCCTAGGATAAGAAGCTTCTGTTTTTACCTAATATTGCAAAAAAATTCAAAAATGGGCCTGGAATAGTGTTTTTTCGCCTAAAAGCTTATCGGTTTTTCGATACGTATAACAACTGTAATGGGCAGCCTTGCAAACAGGAGTCGGCAACAATCGCGAATGCGGCGCACATGTGACAATGAGCAAATGTCATTATCACTGAACTCTGTAATGTGGAAAGCGCATCGGCCGCCAGATGGTGTCCAACGGTGCCGCCATGTTGCGCAGACCAGGAAGCGGCCGCCGCCTGTGCTGGGGAATAGGGAATTCGGGACCTCGATTTACGTTTGCGGCCGCTGCATCCGTCACGTTCAAGCTACGTAGACACGGAACCCGCCACCCGGCATCTTACGCAGAACGGAGTGGAGAACAAGATGAAATCTTAAAAAATCCTCAGATACAGGGAACCTATACATTAAACCCTTTTAACCTAATGGGGAAATATGGAAATTGCTATTTTGGCCATAGGCGTCGGAACGATTTGAGACAAGGGGGGGGGGGCACCATGGCTCAAGGAGCCAAACCTAGGGTACCCCCAAATCCTGTTTTCTCATCGGACTTAGGCCACTTATTTTTCGTCACAGCCCTGACACGATGATTTTTTTTTAATTTTATTTTTTACTAAACGAAAATGGCAGTTCACCCCCGTATGCAGGGGTGTAATTTTATATCTCTTTGTGGGGGCATATGCACCCACAATCCTGAATTATGTATGCCCACACAATGATGAAAATGCACCCACAAGTCTTTTACAAGGCTGCAAGCGTCCTTTCGAGAGTACGGTGCCCTTCGCATGCTCTAACGGCGTCCTCCTGACCGTCTCGCGTTCATGGATAATATAGCGTTTTTAATCACTCGGCGCCCTTCTGGGAGAATGGCGCACTTCTGACAGCACCGCGCCATTCTCATGGTCTAACGGCGCCCTCCTGACCGTCTCGCGTCCTTAGGTCTCTGTTCACCGTGCATCCCTCGACTGTTCGGCGCCCTTCTGGCCTCTCAGCGCCCCTGAACCACATATAGCGTTTTCAATCACTCGGCACCCTTTTACGAGAATGGCGCCCTTTTCATGATCTCAATGCGCCCTCGTAACCATCTGGCGTCCCCACGTCCCCACCAACGTAGCACTACTGACTGTGCGGCGCCCTTCTGGCCTCTTAGCGCCCCTGGACCACATAGCATTTTCAATCACTCGGCGCCCTCCCAAGAGAATGGCGCCCTTTTCATCGTCTCACGGCGCCCTCGTAAGTCGTAACCGTCTGGTGCCTCCACATTTGGTGCCCCTCCTACTGGATGGCGCCCTCTACAGCTTTTTACGTCCTTCCGGTCAGTTTCCACTTTTAAGCGTGTATTTGCTTAGTCAGACACGTCACTTGAAGCGCCATTCGGCTAGCAATGTTATCAAATTCGGTGTTAATTTAGGCTCCCACATAAAGAATATCTATCGCGCCCCAAAACGGCCTGGCGCCGGGCGCCCCTACAGCTGGGCACCCACAATCATTTTAGGAAAATTACACCCCTGCCCGTATGTGTGGTTAACTTTAAGCTGATCCCCAAGTACCTATGTGTTTGTCTCTTCCTTATTCTCGTTTGATAAATTCCATTAATCCTACATGTAACAAATTACCAAGAAGCCATTGCATGGTACTAATCAGTGGCGAATCCCAGGGTGGAGGTCACATGGGTCATGACTTAGGGCCTGGGGTCACCACATGCCTGCCAGGAGCACCACAGGCCTGACAGCCGACAGGGGCACCACAGGCCCGCCAGGGGTACCATAGGCCTAGCAGGGGCACCACGGGCCTGTCAGTGGCACCACAGGCCTGTCAGGAGCACCATCGGCCTAGCAAAAGCACTACAGGTCTTCCAGGGGCACCACAGACCTGCCAGGGGCACCAGAGGCCTGCCAGGGGCACTATCGGATTCGCAGGGGAACCACCGGCCTCGCAAGGGCACCATGGGCCTGTCAAGGGCACCACAAGCCTGTCGTTGGCAATTTAGGATTGTCAGAGGCACCACAAACCTGTCAAGGGCACCTGCGTTCTAACAGGGACACCACAAACCTGCCAAGGCCCAGGGACACCACAGGCTTAGCAAGGACACCACAGGCCTGTCAGGACCCATGGGCACCTAAGTCATGTCAGGGCCCACCGTAGGCTTGTCAGGGGGCAGGGTAGGTAGGTACCGCAGTCTTTCCAGGGGCATCAGCGGCCTAGCAGATGCAGGGGCACCAGTCATCACATGACTAACCAAAAATAAAGAAAATAAAAAAAAACTGAAAATAGGGCACCACCAAAATTAAGTGGCCGAAATCCGTTGAGGTTTTAATTTTGGGCGTAGGTAGGGGCACCACTTCGATTCATGGCCCTCCCCTTGGAGTTTTCCCCGAATCTGCCCCTAGTACTAATACATCAAATTTAAGGGGGGGGGCACCTTACTATTGGTGCCCCCTTGCAGAATTCAAGGGGGCACGGTGCCCGGTGCCCCCCCCCCGTTCCGCCGCCTATGATTTTGGCGCCGAGAATGATCTGAAACTATCTCAAGCATATACCAGTAAAACGCCTTTTGGGCGAAGGACGAGCGAGCGAGATAGTGAGCCCTGCACGTGCGGAAGGGCGAGAGGGTACTTCCAACGGACTTGTGCAAAGCACCCTTCTAACCGGTCGCTAGCGGTGTGCCAAATTTGAACGCAATCGGCCCAGCCGTTCCTGCGATCTGGTAGCGGCATTCTGCACGTGCGCACGTGCAAACGGGGTCCAAAGTGACTTTTGCACGGCACCCTCCTAACCGGTCCCCAACCGTATACCAAATTTGAGCGCAATCGGCCGAGCCGTTCTGGAGATCTGGAAGCGCCCCCTGCACGTGCGCACGTGCAGTAGCACCCTAACCGCAACACATGGGAATGCATTGTCTGGTGGGTGCCTACCTGTATGCCAAGTTTCAGCGAAATCGCCCCAGTTATTACCGAGTTATTGAAATGGGAACAAATTTGACACCTCTTATTGTTGTATTTTGCACGTGCACTGGGGGTCACTCACATAGATCAAGGGTATCCGACCTTTGGTAGAAGGGATGCAGCTACCCTATAAAAAATACCGCAAGACAATCGCTCAAGCCGCTGCTGAGATATGGGCCTCTCAAAATCACTACTTTTGCAAAACTGCTTGAACACCCTTGACTTTTCACGTGGCACGTGCCACGACGGTCACTGAGATGTAACAAAAGTAGTCAATTACGGGCTAGAAGGGATGGGGCTACCCAGCAAAAAAGACCGCAGGGCAATCGGTCCAGCGGTTGCTGAGATATAAGCCTCTCAAAAGCGTTA